GCCCTCCCACTGTTGACCCCCCCAAGCACCAAGAAGACAGAGCATCCCTTGCCCCAGAGCCCCTATCTATACCTTGTGGCTAATAGCCACCGGTGGACCTAGCTCTTAATAGGCAGCATCTGCCATCCAGCCTTCAATTCTCAACCCATGTCACTTGCATCCACCCAACAGCTCCAAGGGGGGGAAAAAAACTACTGTCAGCGCTGGAGCCGAACTGAGAAAAGGCTGCTTGGGTTCCTCCTCCTCCACTCAGGACAGAAGCTAATCCCCCCCCCGTCATTTCCCGCGCTGCTCTAAACAAGCCGATTCCAATGTGCCTCGTACCTCTGCGTCCTTTACAAGACTCCTTTGCACAACACCCCTCCTGACTGGGAGGCTGAGGAAGGGAGCTTTAACTCTCGAAAGCTGAAATACCCTGAAATTATTTTGGTCTCTACGGTGTTCCTGGACTCGCATCCTGCGACTCCTCCGTGTACTTTATGTTCTGTCCCAAATCAAACAAGGGAAAAATAGGGGTGGCCACAAGGGGATAAGTGGGACTGTTCAAACCAGTCCTCCAACGAGGAGAAGGTCACAAACTGTGCATGAGAGGCGGAATTAGAAATGGGGGGAGGGGGGCGACTGGAAAGGCCTCGCCCGCCCGTCCAGCTACTTCACGAGTGGGTCTCCCACCTGCCCGCCCGCCCTGCGCCCTCAGCCGCGGCTCACCCAGCTTGCACTCGCCGTCGTGCGCCTTCCGGACGCGCTCCCGGCCGGCGTGGAGGGCGCGCCAGCTGTGGAGGCGGAGAGCGCACACGCTGCCGTAGGAGCGCCCGTCGGAGCCGCAGACGGCGCCGTCCTCCTCGCACACGCACCGCCCGGTGCCCTCCTCGTCTTCTTCGTCGGCCTCCGGCTGCCCCTCCGCCCGCTGGCTCACGCACACCAGCCCCTGGCCGCAGCGGGCGCCCCGCGTCCCGCCGCACCGCTCCCCCTCGACGCTCAGGCACCGCTCGCAGCAGCCGCACTCGTCCTGCGCCGTCAGCTCGGGCGCCGCGCACCGCACCGTCGGGCAGCGCTCCGGCTGGCAGGCCCCGCAGCCCGCGCCCTCCGCGCCCCTCGACGCCGACAGGTGCAGGCAGAGAGCCACGAGCGGGAGCAGCCAAGGAGGCGCCATCCTGCAGCCGGAGGGAGAGGAGCGCACAAGCCACGCGCCGCCACCCAAACTGCTCCGGCAAGCGACTGTCTGAACGGCTCTGGCAGAGCCGCCGGTGCCAGAGAAGCGCCGCCCCTTCGGCAGACCACGCCTCCATAGCACCGCCCCCTCGGACGACCGCGCCCCGTCAGCCCCCGCCGATTGTCCCCACGTGCGCACAAAGAGCCCCCGGGACTTTGTGGGGGGGGGAGTGTGGGGTGAACCCAGCAACACCGTCCGTCGCCCTCGTCCTCCGCCGAAAATGTATTAGCGCTTCATGATCTCAACACCTGAAAGGGCTCTAAATTGCAATTTTAAACAACCCACTTTTTATTCTTACTTTTTGAATTCTCGTTAAACATATGCGTTTATCACAACGAAGTTGGGTTGTACAAGAAGCCTGAATAAAATATTTGACAAAACGAAGGATTTTAACAAAACGAAGGTTGAATCAGCGTGAACCCAGCGACGCCGTCCGTCGCCCTCGTCCTCCACCGAAAATGTATTAGCGCTTCATGATCTCAACACCTGAAAGGGCTCTAGATTGCAATTTTAAACAACCCCACTTTTTTTGTTACTTTTTGAATTCTCGTTAAACATAAGCGTTTATCACAACCAAGTTTGGTTGTACAAGAAGCCTGAATAAAATATTTGACAAAACGAAGGATTTTAACAAAACGAAGGTTGAATCAGCGTGTTGGCTGGTGAGTTGCAATGGTGACAGACATTTTTAAGTTAAAATTTAAATTAAAATTAAATTTAAAAAATCATGACCTCCTTTACACCCCGGTGGGGACCCGAGCTGGCTTACCTAATTTCCCTCTCCTTCATTTTATTCTCATAACCACCTGTCAAGGTAGATTAGGCGGAGAGGGTGTGAGTGGCTCAGGTTCATCCTGCTAGCTCCCATGGTGTTGTCGGGATTCGAACCTGGCTCTCCCAGATTGTGGGGTTTTGGCGAATAGTTTGATGAAGACGTCGATTTAGTGCACGGTTGCACTGAAAAGGGCCAACCCCACGGTGGGGTTTATTAGGAAAGAGGTTGAAAGCTTTATAATATGCTTGTATAGATTTATGACACAGCCTCCCTGGAAACACTGTGTACTGTGTGGGTTGCCCTGTCTCAGAAAGGATGTGGCAGAACTGCAAAAATGTGCAGAGGAGGAAAACCAAAATGATCAAGGAGTTGGTTGGAGCACCTTTCCTGTGAGAAAGGGGATAAAGAATCTGGGATTTTGTGGTTTGTCAAAAATAAGTTATAAAATTCAGTATAAGGTGGAGAAAGTGGATAGCCATGTTCGCCCCTTCCGTAAAACTAGAACTCAGGGGCACCCAGTGATAGTCAATCGGTCCAAGCCCAACAAAAGGAAATACTTCCTTACTGAATGAGTTATTAAATTGTGAGATTCTCTGGCCATAGATGCAGTGACAGTCGTAGACCTCGATTACATTAGTGGATTAGACATGTTCATGGTGAATGGGTTCCTTCATAGCTACTGCTGAAAGGGAACCTCTGCATCCACAGGTAGTATCCCAGTTTTAGGAGGCAACATAAGGGGGAGATTTTGACCTCTCTGTCCTGTGTGTTTGTTTGTTTCAATTTCTATCCCACCCTTCCTGGAAACGGGCTCAGGGCAGGTTACAAACAGTAATTATAGAACAATAAAATCGGAAATTAAAACTGTAAAGCTTAATCCTTAAGTGACGGCGATCAGACTATTCCTATGATGCCCCGGTGTTAGTCAACTGAAAGCAGAGGGGCTTAAATTCCATAAGGGATTCTGGATGGTGAATACCCAACTTAACTTTGGTTAAGCCGGGTGGGTTATCATTCTGAGCCTCGAAAACAGACAACCATGATTATTGACCCTCCAGGGCCACTGGTTGGCCACTCTAGGAGACAGGATGCTGGGACTCTAGACAGACCACAGGTCTGATCCAGCAGAGTAACTCTTCTGTTCTCTGGTGCAATGACCCTACAGTGTTTCCAGTTCAGAGCAGGTCATAACCGCTATCCTGAGCTCGCTCCAGGGGAGGACTGGCCGTTCAATTTATAGGGAATGTTCCTATTGGACTGCAGCCACGAGCCATTGCTAGAAGCCAGGAACAAGTGGAGTCAAGCTGCAGCGGCTCTGCCGGTCCTGCAGAGATGCCAGTGCCTGGCTAGAGATGCCAGTGATGGGTGTCGCCACACCAGTTACCTCTCCCTGCGCTGCCACCAGTTGGTATTGTATTGCCCACCCCTGGCTGCCTTAATGGGAGCCCATGAGTCTCGCTGGAGTCCTGCTTCACTTAGGCTGGCTATAGTAAGCAGTGGGGTTTTGTAGCTTGGAAATTCCCATTGTGTTCCGGGACGGTCCTCGCCCTGGTCTCTCGAAAGGTGAGGCCACGGCCCATCTGTGCTGATCCCGCTCATTCATTTGCTGAGAGTGCTTTTTTTGTGTGCTTAATCCCCCCGGCAGCCTCGAGGGATTGTCGAGAGGGGCAGCCTCCAGAGTCGCATTGTCCCGGACATAAAAGCCGGCAGATTCCCACACCCGTTATTGCCGGGCTGAGGTTAGCATTTCCAGCCTTGCGCTTCGAATGCGATGGGAATGTTGAACTCCGTCAGGACTCCCGCGGGGTCATCCTGAGCCAAGTTACACCCTTCTTCATCTATTAAAGTCCATGCTGGCCGACCAGAATCGCTTAAAGTCAAAGCAGCGCATGGTAAAGGGCTTTTATTATTGTGTTATATTTATTGAAACCATTTTTATGCTGCCTTTCCACCCAATCAGGGTCCACAAGGTGGCGAACGTTAAAACATTTAAGCCAGGGGTGTCAGACATAAGGCCTGAGGGCCAGAACCAGCCCGTCCTGGGCTCTTATCTGGCCTGTGAGCAACGGATCATTACCTTTATTGCCAAAAGACAGAGGCTGTGTGATATGTCCCTGTATACTGTCCCAGTGCTAATGTGTAATGGGCCTTGGAAGAAGAAGAAACAGAGGAGGAGGAGGAGACTGGATTTATACCCTGCCCGTCACTTGCAGTCTCAAAGAGGCTTACAATCGCCTTTCCCTTCCCCTCCTCACAACAGACACCCTGTGAGCTATGTGGGGCTGAGAGAGCTCTTTTGAGGACTGCTCTTGAGAGAACAGCTCTGAGAGAACTTGTGACTGACCCAAGTTCATACCAGCAGCTGCATGTGGAGGAGTGGGGAATCAAACCCGGTTCTTCCAGATTAGAGTCTGCTCTCCTAACCACTACACCAAATGGGAGGGTGGGCATCAGGGAGATATTCTAAAGAAATACTGTAAGAGTGTTAATGTTTTAAG